GTAGCATAATGGATGGTGATGAAACTGAGCTGCAGTGACATTATGTAAACAGAATCCTACATTAAAGCAGAAAACCAAAGCTTTCTCCGGCAGGAGCAAATGGTATATTTTTGGACCTTGCTGCCTGGACTCTCAAAATAAAACATTTTAATGTTATGTTTTTAACATTATAACTGTCAGGCTTCCTGGCAATTAATCTAAACCTTTATTATTTGTCAAGTATTTTTGAACAGAGTAAGAATGTGTGTGTTAATATTATAAGTCAGGAATACTACTCTTGTTGGCAGGCTGTCAGGAACTCCTAAATTTTAGAACCTTTTCATTGAGCCATCTGGGTTTAACCTGATGTATTTTTGTACATCCATTAAAAGTTTTGGGGTTCTTTTCACTCTGATTTATCTGGTATCCTTGATGCTGTGGCTATATTTCTGGAGGCCAGGATGAAGGATCATTTTTAAATGTTTATATTGCTTTTAATCTAGAGCTTAAAAAGCCTCAAGTAGATACTGATCAATAAAAGAGCTTTTATCTATTTGTTTGACATATACTGTGTTGCTTAAAAATGCATCTGTTAACACTTTTAAATGGCCTTGTATTTCTAAAACCAAGTGTATTGTTGGAGGAGTTAGTGAAGGGTAGTAGTATATCACAAAGAAGCATATTAAACAGGCTTCTTTATTGATGGGCAATCTCTTGCCTTCCATAACTTCCATGAACTTGATCGCCAGATACTCAGTCAACACAGTGTATAAACTGGAGATGATAACTGGAATTACATTCCTAACTTTGCAAAAGGAGCTGGATTTAGTCCCAACGTTTTGCCATGAGACAGGACCAAGGATTTTATCTAAAGGAGAGAACAGTAAAATTCTACATATCATCATTACTTGTTGGCTGATAACGAACAGTTTTTATTAGGGCTGCGCGAAGCTTTGGTTGCTGGTTCGATTCGGCGGAGATTCGGCCCAATTTGGTGAGTGAATCGCCGAATCAGAATCAAATCAGGAGACCCTTTAATTGCTCCAAATCAAATCAGAACCCTCCGAATCTATTCAGAGAGATTTGGAAAGATTCAGTGATTCGAACACAGACACAGCTTTAAATGTTCCTTTCTACATACCTCAAGGTACCAGGCGGCTCATGAATGCAGAGATGGTGGGGTGAATGGAGCATTCCACAGGAGCATGGTGAGGTCCCCAGCACACTCAGCAGCAAACCCGGAAGTGGACCAGAAACACTTCTGGTCTACTTCTGGGTTCACCAGGGAGCACGTGGGGGGCCCTCCGTGCCCCCCCAACTCGGTGACTGGTGCCTCCTGGGCCTGGGGGGCACCTGGGGTCCCCCACAGCTGATTGCCAAGCCGGGGGGGCACGGGGGATCCCCCACACGCTCGGCAGTGGACCTGGAAGTACTTCCGGTCCACTTCTAGGTTCGCTGCTGAGTATGCAGGGGGTCCCCCATGCTCCTGTGGGACGCTTCATCTGCCCCAGCATCACATTGTTCACGACCCTTGCCTGGTACCTCAAAGTATGTAGAAAAAACATTTAAAGCTGTTTCTCTGGCCAAATTGCTGATTCTCTGAATCAGCATTGAATCTTCAGATTCGAATTCGGCTGAATCAACACATAGAAGCACTGTCCCCAATTCAGGCTGAATCCAAATCGAATACAGCTCATTTTGTACACCCCTAGTTTTTATATTGTCATTTTATTTTGCTGTCAAGTTCAAGTGGAAAAGTGGAACAGATGTTCTCAGATTAAGTGTCAAGGTGAAAAATATTAAAACCAAGGGTCACAGATTTAAATGAAGCACAGAGAGAAACAAAATCAATTCTAGGAAGTGTCTAAATTTTGAATATCAGTATTGAGAATTCTGGACTGATTGAAACCCAAATTGATTTTATTTTTATTGTTGTTGCTGTTGCTGTCATTTTCCCTGGTGAAAATAATAGATGTGTTTAGAGAGAGGGGTTTAAAATTTGAGAGGTTTTCCCCTCTGCTTCTTTATCTTACTACCATGATGTGATATCTAGTCTTCCAGGTCATGCAGTTTCTGACCTGACTGTACCTTACATTATTTAATTTGGTGTCAGAGTAATATGTTTTCCCTCAGTATAGGCTGGAAAAACCCTCCATAAAAAGAATAAAATGAGGGTGGAATTAGACAAGACTTGATATAAATATCTGTACATTTTAATAAGTTAATTGCTTTGCTCTTTAGTTATTATATACGTATCAGTTTTGCCATTTCAAGCTATATTGGAACAAATTGGATGGATTTTTGTTCTCATGTCGGGGAAAACAATCTACAGTTTAAATATAATCATTGGATGTTTTAAATATATTACAATACTATATATATATATAAAAGATATGAATTAATTGGTTCAAGCTCCTGTAAAATGCAGTCTCAAATCCCAGCCATCTTTGGTTTAAAATGTTCAAAATCTATAATACTTTAGTTGAAGTTGTACTTGTTTGTGTTAGAGATCAGGAATCAGATGATATCCCTGTGGCCTAGTCCTGGCAAAACACTCATGGACATATTGGGTGTTCTGTGTGGGTAGAGGATGCAGGATAAGAGTCTTAATGGAACAAAATGAATGTAAGGGTCATGGGGAAAAATGGTTACCTTCAGTGGTGGAAACAAAACGTTCATACTGAAAAACAAAGGATGGTTATAGATCTTTCTGTACATTCATCACCATGTGGCAACCCATTGTAGTGCATGACAGCAAAATATCCACACACGCAATGTTGTGGTGAAACTGATACATGCTTGTTTGAACAATTTTAATAGCTGTTATGTAACATTCAGAAAGAATAACCTAACTGAATCTTGCATCAAGTACTACTGAATCAAGATGAAAACTGTGTGCTCAAAAATCAAATGTTTATTGTTGTTGTTATTATTATCAAAGTATTATCAATTTATTATTATCAAATTATTATTATCAAATTATTATTACAGCAATATCCCTAGTTCCTATTATTTATCAGTCTCACTGTTATGTGCCATATAAACACACATGAAAATCTCAGTCCATTTCCTTAAGAATTCAGTCTAAAAAAATCATGTTTAAATCAAAAACTTGAGACTCATTCAAGATTTAAATAAATCTTTTAAAAAATTGTCCATTCTGTAAAAACACAAAAAAACCCCAACCCTCCCTTTCCACTCTCCCCCCCCCGCCAAAAAAACCCCACCCCAAACAAACAACACCTTACACCATTTACTCAAAATGCAGATATGGGTAAAGTCTCAAATATTTTTTGTGTGTCAAATATGGAGTTTGTTTGCCTTTTTGTTGTTTATACTGTTCTTTTTAAAATTTCCTCACTTATATAACATCTGTCGGTCAGATTTGTAGAGTTGTTACATACCTTGCCAAGAAGTTTCAAGTGTAGTTGTAGATGTTTAAGCAAAACCTTTTATATCATATTAAACACATGGGTTGTATTTTCTGTTCCATTTGAGAGAGAAACATACATATTCTTATTTCTTTTTTCCTTCCTCACATCATAAAAAAGCTTCCAAAAAAAGGGGAAAGGGAAGCTATTTACAATGCTCCTGGATTGACAAGACTTATGACCTCAATAATGTTGCGATAATATTTTTATTCTTTTTGTGACAATTTTGCTTGCACTCATCAGGAAAATCCATACCACAGTTAATTACCACACAGTCATTTAATTCTTTAGGAATGGAAGGTATGGCTGTACTGTAGGCTACATTTTTAGTGTGGAGATGCCCAAGTGTTTTGGGATGGGATGGGATGGGTACCATTTACAGTGTAGCTGCACCAGCACAGAACTCAGCCAAGCAGACCAAATTAGTCCATGCTGAGATGTGCCCAGGAGTGCTGCCACAGAGCCTATCCCTTCACCAGCTCCCAGTCTGCACACACCAGATGCTGAAAAAATCCTGCCCTGAGAGTCATGCTGGGTTCATGCCAATAGGTGTGCCCAAGACTGAATAGTGAGAGCAGTGCTGGTTATGCACCAAATAGCAGCTACATTATGTTTTTTGAGGGCTATAGTGTAGTGTAGGTAGGCCCTTAACTTTTTTTTTGCTATTTTTTCTTTGCCTTTGTACTGCATTTCTCTTGTGAATACTACTCTCCATTTTTCCTCATAAATATAAACTTGTAGCAAATCTGTGTATTTTCAATTGGTTTAATACCTGTCACTTCCTATAATGATAAGCTCACAATCTATGGCCCTAATAAATGCACTGGAAAAAAATCCCTCTGTGCTTCCAAAAGAGCTTTTAAAATAATTACAGGAGTTTAGGTTGTAGCCGTGCTGGTCTAAGGACATAGGCAGACAAGGTTCCTTGGGTGAATTTGATATCTTTTATTAGACCAACCCAAATGGTTGGAGAATAGTTATTAAGCAAGCTTTCGGGTTCAAAAACCCTTCGTCAGGCTCAGGAAGCTTCAGCAGTTGGTGTGTGCTCTTCCTGGATGGGATGAAGAGCACACAGCAACTGCTGAAGCTTCCTTAGCCTGACGAAGGGTTTTTTAACCCGAAAGCTTGCTTAATAACTATTCTCCAACCATTTGGGTTGGTCTAATAAAAGATATCAAATTCACCCAAGGAACTTTAAAATAATTAGTAATTTATACAAGACTCCAAACATTTTTTAAAAATGATCCCCTCTTTGCTAATTGTGGCTAGAAGGCACAAAATCTAATTGGAGATGAGCCACAGCTAGATTTTGAGCTTAGTTTTCAACACTCTTACTGGTCCCATTCTGAAAATATAAGCAGCTCCAGTTTGGACCAAGGATCTATGTTATCAAAACTTCAAGAGATTCAGGAGGGGGATAAAAGTTCCAGATTTTGTTCCACCTGAGAAAGATGGTGCAAACTGACTTCTTCATAGTCTTTACGTGGTAATACCTAGTTTATTTGGGAGGAGCATTTGGTTACATAATACATCCTAAAAGCGTGAAACAGCTTTTAACAGAATTGTTTTCCCTCCTTTTTTTCCTGTCAGATTGTAAACCTTATAGAAGAAACTGGCCATTTTCATATCACAAACACAACTTTTGACTTTGACCTTTGCTCGCTGGACAAAACCACAGTCCGTAAACTACAGAGTTACCTGGAAACCTCTGGGACATCTTGAGGATACAGCATCAGGCTGCATCAAAAAATATTGTGGTTTTTTTTTTAAACAAAACATTCAGAATGATGCAACCAAAATGAGAAAAAAATGTACCAGCCCTCTTCAGCTTTATTTTATTTTAAAGCCAGTCATCATCTCTTGATAAAGGAGAGGAAAAGTGACAAGACTCAGAGGATCTTCTCACCAAGGAAATGCTCTGGAAGAGTTAGCCTGGATAGCCTTGAAAAACAAAACAAAACAAAACAAAAAAAACCCTTATTCTTTAATGAATGTGTATGGTATCATGTATCTCTCTGTGGTGTTCAAGTCCACAAGACGAATGCATGTTCAACACACTGCCTTATTACATAACTGATCTATTTATTATTGCATACATATATTCTGAAATCATTGAGGGAATGACACTACCAGATGCTACAAGTACTTGGGTCTATGTATGCTCCTTTGATGCAGTGCCATCACCATCACAATCCTAGTAACCTTATTCATATTAAAATGCCACTTATTGCTGACTTTTTCTAGCCACTTAAAATGCTGTAGTCTTGTTTCCACGTCTGCAGTTCCGGGAAGCGAGGTACAAAGTAGGGGACCAAAAAGTGGCCCTATTTTTTGTTTCCAATCTGCCATGGTGGGTTGGACCACAGGTTCTTAGCGCTCTCCATTTATTGATCTTGGACCACGGTAGAAAATGCACCAAATAGGATCATATGACTTGCTGTCTAGCCTTAGTCAATAAACCAGTAGGACTTTTAACAAAAAAGTGTTACTCTCTACTGTCCTGAATCCAACATTGTTTGTCATCAACATTCTTGTGTCTGTTTTAATGTTATAATATTAGATATATATATGAAAGTGAAGGCGTTCTACAGGATCACCATAAAAGGAGGAATACTGGTCCTATTTTGTAAGGAAATGTTGTAGAAAATTCTTAATTTGGAGCTATTTATTACTACAAGTTTCGACACTCTTCTGCTGCTGGTGTGTGACTCATCTTTACCATAAAACTATTGGCATCACATTTTTATTTGTTCAAACAGTACATGGTCTGTTTAGACTTGTTTTTTGTTTTTTTACATCTGATAAATTAAATTCCTTTCTTTGAAAAAAAATATCTTTGTTGTTATACAGTGACATGTTGAAATATATAATATATATTGTGTTCTATAGTTTCCAAATTTCAGTACCTGTTCAAAATCTAGCTTGCATTTCCAGAAGGATTTCTTGTCTATGAAAACCACTGTTCTTTTACTCTTATCTACGCTTCCTTAAAATTAGAAAACTTTTTCATACAAGTGCAAATAAGAGCCTACATACATATTTTGCCATCGGTGCTTTCAAGAGGTTGATGATTTCACAATGAAATCATTACCTCTTTATTAAGCCCTCAACCCTGATGACAAAAGGATACAGTTAAGAAATACTTCTGGATCCAAAGGTTTATTCAAATTTATCAGCCTTAACAAAATTGTCAGCAGAAAGGCCAGTATACTTCCAGTTCTTACATGCCAGCTTTAGTTTATATGTATAGAGCTGAACGACGGTAATATCTGTAAGTTTTCTTGTTTCATGCACATGACTTTATGCAGTACTGTGAAACTAGATTCCTACTAGGGTTAGTTCTTCATGTTCAAATGTGAATTCTCAACAGTTTCTTTAAGTCCAAAGAATTTTCTTTCTTTTTTTTTAATGGTTGTTCATCCATACTCCAAGGAAAGTCCTCCTTAGGCTTCCAAAAAGACAAGTGTACTTTTTTTAGTAATGTTATGACTCTTACTGATGATTGGCATGAAACATACTTGAAGAGTTATGTTGTTCTTTAAGTCCACGTCTCAATGTGCAATTGTTGGGAGTGAGGGAGGTGAGGGAGAGAGGAAGGTCTTTAAAAATCACTTTTGACATCAGACAGATGATGTTGGGGGGGGAGGGGTGCATGTGGGAGAAGTAAGCAATTTTTTGTCAACGTTTTTATATGAAAATGTTTGGAAATTGAAAAGCAATCTTAAAGGTCTTTGAACTAGTAGCACACATTCAACTGGCTACCTTTTAGTTCTGTCAGATATATGTGGAGTTGAGTCCATTTTGACTTTTCTAACTAAATTTTGTGGTAAAAACTCTTGAGTTTCAGGATGGGAAGTGAGCCCAATTATCTTCTAGTACGAATGAGATTATTGCCATTGTTATATATAACTGATGACAGAAGTCATTTTATCCACAGAAATTCCAGCCAACCTCTATTATAGGTCCAGAAGTAGGAAAGTCCTTATGAAAGGGAGGCTACTGCAGTTACAATATAAACATTACCTCTGAATTTCATGGAAAAGCTTAATAATCCTTCAATAAAAATTTAATTCTCTAATGTGGTAAGATTGGAAGGGGGAGGAAATAAATAGACTGAAGTTTGTCTTTTAAAGTGAGTTTTCCACAAAATTCTGATAGAATCAGTGTCACTAAGTGTTGGTCTCGTTTACAGAAAGTTTTACATTAGCTATTTTCATCTAATTTTGTATGCAGAAACAAAATAAATCCTTTTTCAATCAATTTCAAATAGTCATATTTTTCTGAAAAGAAAAACAAATAGTAAAGTAACCTGCTCAAGTTCACCACAGTTACGAACATTCATCTTTGGGACTAATAAAAGTGTTTTAGCATATGTTCAATCTTACAACAACATTAGCTTTTAAATGTAAGCAAAGAAATGGTTTGTGGTTTTATTTAGCGTCAAACTACTTAAAACAAACTTAACAGAGTGAATTTGGATAATGGATTAAGTGAACCAGGCAAAGGTTAGCAACATTTACAAATCTCTTTTCTAGCATTGGTTGCATGCTGTACTTGAAGAGCAGCAATTGTATCTGATGGAAAAGACAACTTTATTCTTGCCAGTAACTGACTGTTCACCTCAGGAATTAGATATACAAAAGTAAGGGGTACTTTTTTAATGCTTGGGTAGAAGTTTGTGTCCTCTGAGAGACTTCACATAAAGTTGAGCTTCACCTGAATTAAAATGGTAACTTAATTCATCTTAACCAAAAGGGGCAATTCTTTAGAAAATAGACCTCAGTTTGGTAGCAAAAGCTGTGGTAAAGAAGATGAGGGGAGGAAAAAGTAAAAAATAATTGATGAGAGATTCCCAAGATGAACACATGAAAAACTTAAATTTGTGTTATGTTACTAACAGGCTTTCAATTAAAGGAAGTGTTTCAGTAATGCCACTGTGAATTAAACTTTGTATTGATACATATTGTTCAGACCTAAATCTATATAATTTTTTTTAATTTGAAGGACAGCACATAAAATACCTGTCGTTAGAGAGACTTGGGACAATTTTATTAAGATTTTAAAAAGAGAAAAACTTAAAATAGACTTTAATTTTTCCAATGAACTAGAAGTATGTGACATGGTCCATTTCAGGTCAATGAAAAATGTAATGATTTGCTGAATTTCTTCAAAGCTGTGTTAGAGTATTTTGGCCTCTTGAAATATCTCATAACTTTCAAACCCTGTTACACTTTCAAACCCTGTTACACTACAGCTTGCAGACTGATAAGAAAATGGTAAGAGGTCTATAGAGGAACCTGTCCCATTTAGTTATGTGCTTTATCTAACCATCACAACAGTGTCTGGAATAGCATGTTTAATTTGCTGTCATGCTGTACTACTTTGTTCTGTGTATGTTACTTACTGTCTTCAACCACTTGCTTGCATATTAATTGCATGTGTTGTATCTTTCAGTAAGCTTTTATTTCAGTCTATATGAGTGCCTTTATTTTGTGAGTGCACATTTCCAATTGATTTCCACCGTTTGGTGCTACTTTGGAGTCTATTTAGATGCTACTTACAATTGTGTTTTTGACTCAGTTGATTGTAGCTGCCCTGTAAGCTCTGCAGTTAGGTGACCTTGAGAGAGCACATTTTAAATCGGAAAAACAAAGCTGCCACTGTCTATAATGTAAATATGTATTTTGGCAGTTGCACTACAATACACTGAAATAGCTGCTCATGATGGAAATGCTAATAGGCCCTTAAGCTTGGTACAAGCAACCAGGCAGTACAAAAATAAACAGCGTCAAATGTATTCCAAAGATTAACAAGTGCAAGGCATGTGTTTTTTTTCTGAACTTCAATAATTTCCTTAATTGTTTAGCAGTGCATGTCATATATCATGAACCTTTTTATCCTATGGAGATCATTCTGTGTTGCTTGCTGTAGGGTGCTTGCTGTGTTGCTTGATCAGGGTGCTCATTTTCTGAAGCAGGATACTGTACCTCAAAAATTAACTCTTGTGCATGAAAGAATTAAGAATTTCCAATGAATGATGGGACTACAACTCACATTTCTGAAATGCTTTTGTGTGTGCTTGTGGGTTAATCAGTGCATTACCTACAAATAGACCTACTAATTTTACAAGGCTGGCCCTGTGCGTGAGAGAACAGGCACATTTACATCATAGCACAATCATATAAGAGCCCTGCATTTACTTGAGTAGCAAGAAGTGCCGCAAAGACTAGACAGGAAGGAGAAATATTACCACAATGACAACAATGCCTTTTCAGTTTTCAAAAAAAAAAAAAAAGTTGCTGAATATAGTTCTTTGCATTAATAGAGAGAGTACTATTAGTTGATAAGCAGTGAGATCTAGTTCAAGACATTCTGATGTAATATTCAGGAAGAAGACTCTAGTGCATTATTGGTACAATTGAACGGAGTTGTTGACCTAATGATCTGAGAGGTAAATGTTAGTGGGGTACATTGTGAGTTACCATACTGTTTTTTCACACACTAACATCTCTCTGTCATTTGTGTGGGTACTGTACCTGACAGTAGTTTTGCATTGTTTTTTTCAACACAGAGATTGAGCCAAAGGTAAGAGTGGGCAGCTGAATTCAGCACAAGATGCATTTTTGTTATCACTGGTGGTAGTTAGAGCTGGAAATCTCCCTTGGATATTGTATCAGACATGTCCTGCATTTTCCTATGTTCCATTGTACAACCTATGCTGTAAAATTGCCCTTTCCATTAATAAGCCATGCCCTTGTCTCCTATGTGAATGTGGCATAAATTATTATCTTTCTTCACTGCTGGGTGAAAATGGAATTCAAGGTCTGTGTCCAGTGCAGGAAATAGTAGGTTTGTTAAGTTGTCAATGACATGTTTTTATTCAGACCTAGAAATAAAGCCAATCTCCACAGAAGGGGGAAGGTGAGATGTACAAAAACATTCTTTCCCCACAGTAATTTTTTTCCCTTCTGCTTCCTTAAGTTTCTAAAAGCTAGAAAAGAGAATACATACAAACTGTGAAAAGAAATCAAAGGTATTGAAAAGATAAAACAAATGAGTTGTATTAAACTGTGCAATTAATAAGGTTGTAATGCTGATATTGATTTCAGTGCAGTGCAGACATTCCTAGCACATGTGGTTTGTGTATCCATGTCTGAGTGGGTGGTCTAGAAAAAAAGTGCTAAATGCAGCAAGGTGGCTTAGTTTTTGAGCAGTGGAGAGAGGCCTTCATGACAAGCTCAGCCAACGTCATCCAGACTCTCCAGGATAAAACAGTTTTCTTTAGCTTTGTTCTGAGAGCCTAAACCTTAGCTTCACTTATTCATTTAAATATTCAAGTCTCTTCAGCAAAGCATCAGTCACAATGCAGGGGCTTTAAATATTGGCTGGCTGGTTGGTTCAGGATGGGGGAAATGAGTAGTATGGAATGTGTAATAACTCTCTTTCTGTCTTTCTATTTTCTTGATGTTCAAGTCTGAAGCCTCTTCTTTAAAGCTTTATTACTTTACGTGATATGGGAAAATTGCTGTTTGTATTATAGGATCACATGTTATTAGCATAATCCATAGAGAAAAAAATGAATTAAATGAACTTTTTTCAGGAAGTATGTATGATGCCTGCAGAAGAATATCAGATCTCAGTGAGAAGGCCCACCTCATGGTTGGCCTTTTAGGGCTTTCTGCAGAGAGGCATGCTCCTGAATGCTGTTGTGTATTATCCAAAGGTTGTTTTGGAAGTAAAATGTCTCTGGG